GTTGCACTTGTCAAGCATGGCAATTGTCTGGGATCCCTTGTCCACATGCATGTGCTTGCTTGATTGCTCAAAGTCAAAGTGTAGAGGACTATGTCTCCCATTACTACAAAAGGGACACGTATATGAAAGCATATAAGGAGCCAATATATCCTTCAAAAGGAGGCATGAAAATATGGTCACTAATTGGGTGTGCTCTAATGAATCCACCTCCATTTAGGAAGTAAGCTGGTAGACCTAAGAAAAAAACGAAGAAGAGATAAAGATAAGCCAAAGATAGCAATGACAAGACAGCAATGTTGAGGCTTTCTAAGAAGGGTTCTAAGGGCACTTGCACAATTTGTGGAATTCAAAGACATAATAAAGTAAGCTGTCCAAAAAAGAATTTGGTTATTGAACCAACCACTCAAGTAAAGCCTTAAACACACAAAATTTTGATCTTAAAAGTCTAAAGTAAATTTCTAATTTAATATCATGGGCTTTTTTGCTGCAAGCACATAATATTGAGGGAACAAATGCATTGGGGAAAGAGAAAGGAAAGGGAAGAACCAAAGAGAAGGAAAAAACAACAAAAAATAAAGTTGGAGCAAAGAAAAAAGACAAAGGAAAGGTAAATTGTGAATAAATATAGGTTTTTTTTTTTTTTCTGTCTAACACTATATTTGTCATACCCCAAAACTAAGAGTGAACAGATATCGTATACTTATGAGAGGATCCTACAAATGCACAAGGCTCATAATCTACTTAGTTCATATCTAAGAATTCGTTAAACTAAGATTCAAAATCTCAAAATAAAATCTAGCTTTTATAACCAAGGTTTACTAGGTTAGGAGTGCATGAAAATTTTACAACTCCATTAATAAAGTCATGACTATCTCCAAGGGAATTTAGCCTACGAAGGAATGATCTATATCTCAAAAATCTATGTCCAACATGATTAGTCTAGCGAGCCTATCTCCAAAATTAACTAAGTCCAAAATATATAAGTGGCTAGCCTTTTAGCTCGTCACTTCCCTTGGTTTCCCACGTCTCGGGTTACACTATCTAAAATGGTGGACAAGGAAAAAAAAATTATGTGAGATAACTCAATAAGTAAAAATACGGATAACTCCCATTGAAATTTAAAGCATGCCAAGTAAATATTGTAAATCATTTATGTATACTAAAATTTATTTAGTGGTTCCTTCAATTAGTCATAGCCAATGTACTATTCCAGATGGTTGGATAATAGAAATACCAATGTACGATCCCATTGGCAGGATAATAAAAATACCAATGTACTTTTCCACTGATAGGATGAACCGGTCCAACAAATATATATGTCGAGATGTGCTAGCATTTACAACTTCCATTGACAGGCTTTAGGAATCATGACCATATTGGAGACAAAAACCATGCAGGAGTTCAATAGGAAAATCCACAATTTACAAATATGTAAGAGTTAACTAGAAAATTCATAATTTATAAATATGTAGGAGTTAACAGGAAAATTCATAATTTACAAACCAATTTCAGATTTTTAGAACAAGTAACTCCATGTAAGCATGCTCAACTCAATAAAAATAATAACAACTTCATTTCAAATAAATCATGCTCAGGTGTTAATAAAAATCAATTTAAGTCCTGCCACCATCTCAAAAATAATTCAAAATATGCTTTTAAAACCTTTATGTTAAAATCCAAGGGCATTTACCATAGGTTTACTTATCTTGCCTTGTAGGTAAACAACAAGCAATAATTTAAGAACTCAAGACTATTGAGGTGATTTAGAACTTATGCCACATCAAATGAATACTTAGAATAGGCTTAAAATAGCTCCAAATGTCACACTAAATAGTAGGTATTCTAAATAAATTTTCTAGGTAAAATAAGATGGAAAAATGTGAGATACCAAGCTCAAAACCATCCTAAACGCTAGCAGACATATTGGGCAGCAAAGTGAGGTTTTCTGCTATTGAAAGAGTCCCAAAATGTCTAGAAAACACCCTAAACAACAAGGATTTTTGGACAAAAAGACAAAAACAAAACAGGGTGGAATACAAGCTAAAACTAGGTAAAAATAGATAGCATTTAAGCAGAAAAGTAACAGTAAAAAGGAAACCAAAATAAAGCAATAACAAGTGATTTTAAAGCAAGAAAACAACAACTAAAGGTCTAGTAAATTCATTATGAGATGTGGTAGTAGATAATGTGGGAATAATGCAGAAAATAGAGCAAAATTTTGGGCACTTTTGAGGGCAAGTTCTAGTCAAATTTTGAACTAGAAGTTTCAATAGAATTTGTGACTACAAATTTATCAATCTGGGTTAAATGATTAACAGATAAATTGTAACCCTATGTCTTCATTTTCTATAGGAGCAAGAATCACCTTAATTTAATATCTACAGAGAAATTTATGGTTAGAATATTAACATAAGGTCGGGTTACCAGTTCTGTCCGCCTTTAAGAATCAAACTTACAACAGAGTTTTCACCATGAAAATAGCTTAATTGGGTTAAATGTCCAATAGAAAAACTATTGGGTTATCTCTTAACTTTCTATAAAATTAAGAATGGACTTAATCCAATAGCTAGAGAAAGAGTTATGGGCAAAACACTACTACAAGGTCATGCTATCAAAATTTCTAGCAAAAGGGATTAGATTCTGGTGGTGCTAGATTATGGGCAAAAATCAAGAAGGAAAACTATAGAAACACATCCCTAATTGAAAACCCTAAAGGATTAGAGTTAACCAAATTCAAATCAAACATGAAAGGATGAGCAATGTGACTGATTTCTTACTGGAAAGTGTTGGAAAATGGTGATCTCTTACTATGGGCAACAACCCAACACAAACCAAGAGATTGGAAGGATATCAACAACAAAATCTGAGTTTTTGATCATCATTTTAAAAACCATAAACTTATAAATCTCCAAATTAGACTTGCAAGGAAGAAGAAGAACTAAATCTCACCTGATTTTTAGTGAGAAAGAGTTGGGCATAGGTTAAGGCTTGAAAGAAATTTTCTGGTGATGGGGCAATGAGAAAACACAAAAAGGGTTAAGAGAGAAAAAAAAGGAAAATCAGCCTTAGCCCCTTTCATCACCAGAATTTTCTTTTAACGCCCCTTAGATTTGTAAATTTTGTTATTAGATCCAGCAATAATAAGTTCTACCATATAAGTCTTTAACTTAAATTTTAAAATTTCAAAAACTTTTGGGATATTACAATATTATTATGAAGTCTAACATTATAGTTTATTTTCCATTTATAAGGTTGATGTTGGAGGAGATTTTGGTCATAACACTAAGGGAAAAAATTCACATTATAGAAGGAAAAGGCAAGTTGGTTATGGTATTTCAACTAGCCAATTTACAGGGGATATTATTTTGAGTGTAAGTGCATATTTGTTATATGTTTTTGTGTCCAATGTTTTCTGGGATTTAAATTAATTATTTGGTTTATAATGTTATTTGGTTTAATTGTATGCTTGGAATTGCCTAGCACTCTTTTGAAAATACTTGTATCAAGTGAAAACCAAAGAGAAAGAAGAGAACCATAGCAAGGCTTTAGGGAGATTAGAACAAGGTTTGAAGTTGGAGAAAGTTCTAAGTAGGGAAGCCAAAGAAAAGGCAAAGGAAATAACACCTCTAGAAACAAAATTGTTGGCTTAAATGTGTTTTAATAGATTTTTCTATTTGTATAACTCGTGTTCTTAAGATGTAGATTAAAGGTATAATAAATGTATTTTTTTATAATAAATTTATATTAAAAAAATAAAAATTGACATTTAATTTATTAATTATTTAATTAAATTCATCAACTTAAGTAGCACTAATATTAAAATTAATATCAACCTTTATATTTTTTATATGCATTTATGAAAAAAAGTGGTCCTAACCTACACCAAGGCACAGGTTAAAAAAACCTACTCGTTAAATAGAAAATGTTAAAAATTAATATTTTAAATAAAAAATTAAAAGTTATTATTTTTAAATAAAAAGATAAAAAGTAGACATCATTATTTAAAAATTAACAAAATTAACATTTTTAAATAAAAACACAAAATTTACATTCTTATTTGCACATTTTCTCAACTGATGTTCATATTGGCTAGATTATTAATTAATACAAATTTTAAATGATTCTTTTTATGTACTTTTCTTAGCTAGCTCTTGCTTGTGACTAAAATTATTAAATTAATTATCATTAATAAATGAACATAAAAAAAGTTTTATTAAAAGTATTTTAGAAGTAATTTTAATATTTGAGTTGCATTTTAAATATATAATTTGACCTGAAAAAATATTATTTTAATTTTAAATATTTTTTATCTTAAAATAATTATTATTTTTTTATTTTAAATTTGA